GTGGTCCAGAGGGGCTTTGCCCAAAAATTGTGTAGGGCCTACCGCACAGTTTCCCTAAACTCTGCACTGGTGCTGGCTGGGATCCTACCGCTCGACCTCCGCATCCGGGAAGTGGCCACACTCTACAAAGCCAAGCGAGGTGTGCCACAGCCAGTATTGGGAGACAGGGAAGTGGAACGCATGGCCCCGATGATAAAAGCGCCACACCCTGCAGAGCAAGTAAACCTGGAATTCAAAAGCCTGATAGACGAGGAACAATATGAACACCATAACAACTTTGAGGTTCGAATCTTCACGGACGGAAGCAAGCTCGAGGGTAAGGTGGGGGCAGCGCTATCCTTATGGGATAGGGTATCCGAAACCAAAGCCCTTAAGCTCACGCTTCCGCCTTTCTGCACCGTCTATCAGGCAGAACTCCTTGCTCTACAAAGAGCAGTGAGGGAGGCGCTGAATCACTCTGGGACTGCGTTCGGCATCTTTAGTGACTCGATGTCGGCTCTTCAGACTATCACCAACGTCAGTTCCCCCCATCCCTTAGCAGTGGAAACAAGAGACACCATCAGACGCTGCATGCTCCAGAACAAGAGTGTCTCCTTGTTCTGGATAAAGGCCCACGTAGGATTGGAGGGGAACGAAAGAGCCGACCAACTGGCCAAGGAAGCTGCTCTGCGGTCAAAACGAAAACCGGACTACGACCTGTGTCCGATATCATTCGTCAAGCGACAAATTCGATTGGAGACGCTTGACGAGTGGGATCGGAGATACAGGTCGGGGGAGACCGCATCAGGAACAAAATTGTTTTTCCCAAATGCATTGGGGGCATATGCGGTCGTGAGGGGGATGGAGCACTCCAGCATTACTACCCAGATACTAACAGGGCACGGTGGGTTCTCTGCATACCTGAAAAGATTCGGGTGTAAGGCGAGCTCATCGTGCACCTGCGATCCAGACGCGGAGGAAACGGTTCCGCATGTACTGCTGGAGTGCCCTATTTTTGCCCGGGAGCGCTATGACCTGGAACAGGAGCTGGGCGTCGAACTCAACAGGGCAGTTTTACCAGAACTGATGACAGATAAAGAGATAAAAAAGAAATTTATAGAATACACTATTAAAGTAGCTCAAAAAGTAATAAATAAAAATAAGACTTAAGAAAACTGGGATGTCAATATATAATCAGTATATATTGTAACACCCCAGAACCCCCCTAAGGACAGTAAAAATTTTTTTTTTTGGAAATAGAAACACTTTTATAACATTTGATAATTTATATTAACTTAACATTAAATTCACATCAATTGATTATTTGGAAACATTTCGTAAAATAAAACAATAAATATAAGAAAAGCAAAAATAAATATAAATGAAAAGTAAGGGCTCTGACTACGTTAGAGGACAAGTATGTANGAAAGAACTCCACACGCAGTTGCATGCACTCGCTCCATCTCACTCCCTCGTATTAGCGCCATATTTCGCCTTATCTCTTTACGTGGACTCGTGTCGCTTCGGGACTCATTCGGGTGGACTCGCCGCGCCACGCCTCCGCGCCGCGCGATACCTATGCTCTAATCATGTCCGCATGTCCGTCATGTTCAACGCGTTCGTAGTTCCTGCATTACAGTACACTTGGAATGGAAATGGAACTGTCTGAACATGTTAATTTTGACAACTCGGATTGAATGATATAGTTCCATATGAGGACATAGTTCCAGGAACTATTTCGGTCCGGAACTACGCATGTCTACTTGCGATTATTTTTATTTTTATCAATAAAAAAATCATAATAAAAAATGTATACTCGAATAATTATTTTCTTTATAACTCGAATAGAACTTAAAATTAATATTTTTTTATAATATGGATCTTCATTCCTATCCGGTGTCCTACGAATACCACACATCTTTTTTTTCTATCTAAAGGTGTTCTCAGATTGTAAAAAATAAAGCATTCGAAGCTACTAAACAGGTTTTTCAGCTCCTTTTTATCTACTTTTCATTTCCTTGCAGAAACACAAGAGAATCAAACAGTAAGTTTAGGAGAAGCAGTGAACTATATCGATTATGCCAAACGTCCGTTGTGGTTTGTGTACAGCGGGATGGGTTCTCAATGGCCTGGGATGGGCGCGGAACTTATGAACATCCCAATATTTTCCGCAGCTATTGAGCGGTAAAAAGTACTACCTTTTATTTTTTACTTTAGTATATTATGAGCCTCTTTTTATTAAAATACCCTTTTGCAGCTGCCAAAAAGCACTCGAACCTAAAGGAATAGATATCATGCAAATCATAACGTCTACTGATCCTGATATTTTCAATAATATTCTAAATGCTTTCTTGGGTATCGCCGCCATTCAGATCGGTTTGACAGATGTCATCTATGCACTTGGTTTGGTTCCTGATAATATCATAGGTAAAGGTTAAAGTATTACATAGTAATAAAATTTGTAATAAAAAAATGTCTACTTATGTTATTTTAATTTACATATAAAGGCGTTGTATCTCATAAGGCGAAAGTTAAGGGTAATATGTATAAACAATGCAAGGTCTGTATTTGTTTTATGTATTTTGAATTTAAATCTTAAAATCAGCTGTTTTACAGAGATATTTACAACTTCTTCTACATACAAAATCTTATAAAATACTAAAGTCACCTCTATTAATTCGTCATAAGTTACCGTGGCCTGAGTAGTCCCATCAAGCAATGCAATTGTACATATACGGCAAATAATAATGTAATGTAGAATATAATAAAAAACGTACTTCACCCGTGTTCTTTGTCGAAGGAATACCACTATCTTGCACAATAATAAATTCGAACACACAAAAAAGAATTTACGTCTTTACCGATAATAGTACGCTTTCTATGCTCGCACAGTGAGATACCTCTAACCTAGTACTACAACTACAAGTGTGACAGCCGTTGTACAATACAAGTGCGACATGTTTCAAGGCGGTATTTACGGCCCATGTGAGTTCCGGTAGTTAGTTCACACCAGGTAGGCCACAAACGACGTGTTCTATCGCCTAGAAATAGTATGTATACTCATGATTTTATTGTTCTTTTTAAATAAAAGGACACAGTGTGGGCGAGCTCGGCTGCGCATATGCAGATGGTTGTCTGACAGCAGAGGAAATGATTTTAGCAGCGTATTCTCGTGGTCAAGCATCCATTGAGACTAAACTCATCAAGGGTTCTATGGCGGCCATCGGGATGGGATACAAACAAGTAAAGTATTCAAAAAAGTTTCATATAACAAATCTTGCTTTTAAAAAAATTGGTCTGTGATTGTATTTTTCACAAACACGAGAACTGTGAGATTGTTTAGCTATATGTATCTTTTACGTTATATTTATAACTTAAGCAATATAATAGATAAATATCCTTAAAACATGGTGCTCTTGCAAGTTGGTACACGTAAAATAATACGTTGGGGAAAAGTTTCTTCGCATTTTTAAAAAAAAATCACGACACTTTTTAATAAAGTTTATTTACATTTAACTAAAGTATGTAGGTACCATTTTTTTCGATAACTTTTTGCCATCTTGTAGGTAGCGAAATGATCCCATTTCTACAGAAATTTTGGGGCTTCTGATCAAAATACTTCGACAATTGGTTTTGGCAGTTCTCTCGTGATGTTAACCTGACACTGCCTAAAGAATTCTGAAGAGACCGAAACAGGTGGAAATCTGAAGGTGCAAGGTCAGGACTATACGGCGGATGCATTAACACCTCCCAGCCAAGCTCTCCTAATTTTTGCTGAGTGGCTAAAGATGTGTGAGGTCTAGCGTTATCATGATGAAAAACCACCTCCCTTCTGTTGATTAATTCCGGCCGCTTTCTCTCAACTTCTTGCTTTAACCTCATCAGTTGTTCGCAGTAGAGTTCAGAATCGATGGTTCTGCCAGGTGGTAACAGCTCATAATGAATAATGCCCTTCCAATCCCACCACACACAGCATCACCTTGTTGCGAGTTAACCCGGGTGTCGCCACAGTCGGTGTAGCCTGACCGGCCTTTGACCACGACCTTTTTCGCACGTTCTTGTCGTACGTGATCCACTTTTCATCACCAGTTATCAGCTTCTTCAAAAATGGTTAGGTTTCATTACGTCGTGATAAAGAATCACAAATGAATACACGGTATATTAGGTATCTTTCAGTGACTTCGTGAGGTACCCAAATATCGAGCTTTTTTGTTACCCAGTTTTTTTCAAATGCACCAAAACTATTTTGTAGTCAATTCCCAGTATTTCAGCTTAGTCGTAACTACTGATATGCCGATCTTGCTCCACTTTTTCAAAAATGTCATCTATTTTATCTGTAATAGGGCGACCAGAGCGACGTGCATCTTTGACATCAAAATTTCCGAATTGAAATGCTTAAATCAAATTTGAACTACTCTCACAGACACTGCACTAGGTCCTTGCATTGCATTTTTACCTTTTTTGTAGTAAAATTTTAAAATGTATCGAATATCTTCATTAGATTCCCTCATCTTGACAGTACGAAAAATAAATAAAAATCACACATATTCCTAATTTGAATTTGGAATTATCTGATTTCTTCTAACTTTTAATGATACCAAAACCAGCCAGATACAAATAGTTATAGCCAAAGAGATTTTATTATAAGTTCATACATACTATAACGCGAAAAGACTTTTTCCCCAACCTATTAAGTGAAAATTCTTTTGCAGTGTGTAGTATTGTGATTTTCTTCATTTTTCATCTTTATTAAATCAATTTTTTCTTGTTGTAGGGAATGCTTTGTATAGGTTTCCCTCTCCACGGTCGAATGGGTCACGAGACGTCATTTCGACCATGTGTATATGGTAACTACAGTTACTAAGCTTTGCACACTGTTTCAGATCTTACCTCTGTGTCCTCCAGAAGTAGACGTGGCGTGTCACAACGGCCCGGATTCTAGCACTATATCTGGCCCAGCGGATGTGACTGCTCAATTCGTAGCGGAACTGTCAGCCAAAGGAATATTTGCTAAAACAGTTCCTTCTGCGAATATCGCATATCATTCTCGTTACATAGCTGCTGCTGGTAAATGCTTTGTTTGTTTATCTAGAAAATCAAGAAAATTATCAAAGTTATGATATTATACTAAGAACTCTAATATATGAACAATTCTAATTCTAATATTAAATTTTGAATAAAAACTTTAAAAATCTTTGGGTTCCATTGTGAAATAAACCAACGAACTTTCCAATTATTTAAATAGTAAATGAAAAGTTTTTAAGATTTCTATTATTTCTGTGGTTTCTAATTTCACATTTGATCTGAAACTGAACCTGAACAGATACAAATGAATACAGCTGAACAGAGAAAATATTGTATTTTTAATGACTGCAATATACAGATACATTATTTCAATAATATTAACATAAAATGTTTTTTTTTTAATGTAAGGCTCAAACCTCTTACAAATGCTGAAGAAGGTCATAAAAAATCCACGTCTTCGTAGTGAACGTTGGGTTTCCACGTCTGTTCCTCAAGAGGATTGGAATAATGCAGCAGCCAAATACTGTTCCCCTGAATACCAAACTAATAATTTGTTGGTGTGTACTGATTAATACTGATCAATAAATTTCAGCTGAAAAATACTAAATCTAATTTTCACAATAATAATTTTTATGCGTGTATCAAGTACAAAAAAATAGTTATTTTTTCGATTTTCAATGATTCGCATGCCTTTTTTATGTGCGTGTTCTTTCATAATTGTGCGTGTCATTCTTACGCAGGGGCCATCCTAATCTTCTTAGTGTCGTTCCAATTTTATTTTTCAAATTTAACCCATCATATCTGAAATCTATAAATGAAAAAAGAACTACTAATTTAAATTAAGATTATTAAAAAAGTTAGTGAAAGCGATTAGTAAAATAATTACATGTTTCAGAATCCAGTTCTATTCGAGGAAACATCTCGAATGATTCCAAATAACGCCATTCTCATAGAAATAGCTCCACGTGGACTGCTACAGGCCATTCTGAAACGTTCAGTATCACCAGATTGCTTTAATATATCATTAACTAAAAAAGGAGATGGTAACGTCATACATTTACTTCAAACCATTGGGAAGTAAGTAAAGATGAAATAAATAAGTAAGTTGAAATTAGTTGTAGGTACACTTAAATCATCTAAATAAGTATGTTATTCAAACGGCGGCCAACTATAATGTGCAGCAAAAGATTTTTATTCGGGGACTATAGGTTATATTATCATTGTTCAAGTATGAGGGAGATAGCCGCCGAACTTTCTGTGTCTCACAAGTAGATCCATACCATTTTAAATAATGACTTGAGTATGTGCCGCGTGTCCACAACATATTGCCACTCGGCTAGTCCCAAAAGACCTGTATTTTCTCCAAACACTCAATCGTAAAAGAGTCACTGAAGACAGGCTAGAACGAGTCAACTCCGATCTAACATTCATAAAACGCATTGTTACTGGGGACGTTTTTTTTAATAAAAACTCAACAAACACCATCGTGCAACCACCTTATTCACCAGATATGGCTCCGACTGACTTCATTATTTTTCCTAACCTTAAATTGCCACATCGTGGCACATGTTTTCGTTCGGTAGAAGATAGCCGTAAAGGAGAGGTGAGAACTAAATTCAATTCAGGAAAAATCGTTTAAAAAATAATTTGATTACTTTATTCGGTGATTAGATTATTCGGTGGCGTAATTATGCCGTTTCTGTAGGAACATAGTTTAAAGGTGATAAAGGTGATTTGAATGATTAATTAACATTTTGTGTATTTTTGATCTTTTTTCGGTAATTTCTTGATAATTATATGAAAATAAAAGCCATTTATCGAGAAATTCGCGATTCGAATCAGTCAGTCGTTTTTGTCAGCTTTTGGCAAGGGCTTAAAAAGTTTAGCATTTTGTGTTTTATTGGTTTGTCGCTTTTTAAAGATCTTTAAATTCAACTTGATATTGACCTATTACCATTTAAAAATGACATTACCTTTTAAAAATAAGACTTTTTTCCATTCATTGATCAAGTTTCACAAAGTTAATTAGTCTTCACTCAGATTTTTCATGTTATAGGTTCCCTGTTCAGTGCCCGTTGAAGTTTCGGTCAAGTCATTCTATGAATTAAGCAACACTTAAATGTCGTCGTATCTGTTCGAGGTCATATAATCTTATTCAATTTGCAAATTTGAACAAAATTTTCAATTATAATTTGTATTTGCACGAATTTTCCATAATTTTCGACAGTTAAAACAGTCCACAGTATTTCCAAAATTAATAAAACTAAATAAAAAATGAGACCAATACCAATACCAATAGATATTTAAATCTAGTGCTGCTATAACTAGTGGTCAATTCCAAGCACAAGAATCTCTTGCTTCTATTCTTCTGTTAAAGAAAACTCTTCTTTCTTTCTTAAGGGCAAATTAACAGCTATAATTATAATGTACAAAACGCATTTGGTACGGGAAATAAATTATAAGGGCCTCATTGCTACAAAATTTAATGGGAAAAATGAGTGCTGGGAGCATTTAAACATTCCACGCATTAAATCGACATGAATTCAGAGTCAGTAAAATAAAGGGAGAATATCATCTGTGAATCAATAACAACAAAAAATATCAAGAATACATTTTTAACTAAACGTTTCATTTCATAATTATTTCAGGTTATACATTGAAGGATGCACACCAGACATCAAGGCTTTGTACCCAAAAGTAGAGTTACCAGTTACAGCAGGGACTCCCATGCTATCACAATTAGTTGAATGGATGCATCTACAGGAATGGTAGGATGAAAATTTGAAGATAATAATTAATAATTAATTCATTTTGTTTATTTTTATCCTATAGATGAGCCAAAGCTGCCTTGGCCCACTGGTTTCAAGTAGTTACCGATTTAGTAGATTCTGCAGGATGGGTGCCACCGCTGAGCTTGGGACGTTGTACTCGTTGTGGAGTCGAGTCGCTGTAACGGCGGCATCATCCTTCAAACCGAATCGCATGAGGCTTTGTAGCAGAAATGAGCCAGTGGTACTTCAAGGCGCGCCAAACAAAATCCGAAAGTCGTTGTTACACTAATCTATGTAATTTATGGTCATGACATAACACGTGGTTTCCTAAAAATATCCCATTACATCACTGAATAGAAACTTATCAGATATTCTAGATGCTAGGCCGAAGACGCTTGAAGCCTTCATTCATTAAAACTTTTCTACCATAAAGATATTGACTGTTGAATTTTGAACTACAGGTACGTTCCAAAGCGACAAAGTACTGAAATAATAACTTGTGCAGTCTGCGAACATTTCATATCTGTGCATGACAAAGAGCATAGTTATTTAAGAGGAAACATTGCTCAAGGTAAGATTTTTTCTATGATTGAGGGTGGCCCAGAGGCCTTTCCAGTTTCACAAGGGCAGGTGGGCGAGCAAGGGATTAGCCAGGAGAGGCGGGACTTGCTAACAGTTGCCCGAGCTCCTCCAGGGGAGACCTAACAAACTAAAGAGCAACAGTTTCGAGAATGAATCTAATACCGGATAGGAATCGCGACCCGCAGAGATCCGGCGAGAAACTCAACGGGCTGATGTTTACTACCAGCCAAGCTGTTAAACAGTTTAATAATTTAGGTAAAATAAAATAAAAATACAAAAATGATAATATTTCTTTATTACTGTTATGACTGACACTTGGAGTTGCGTAGTACTTTGTTATGAACCATCAATAAAATCAATTATTATAACAATATTGAATATGGTCATTGAATATGTACGAGTATAACATACAATTACGATTACGGTTAGCTTAATGCCAGCTATATTAAATTATATTTTAACCGCCAAGGGCTATGTGCCGATATCTCAGTTGGTCGGTTGCGTAAATGAATACGTGAATGATCATGAGTTCGTATCCTTTTCACAATATTTAGAAGTTAATATTTTAATTTTGTAGATATTTAAGTGAAAAGTAGGATATAAAAAAAAAATTGGGAAAAGGATGAGGTTGCAACAGAAACAATACACGTTTTAAAGTTTAAAATTTTAATTTTAAATTAAACATTTGAATTCATTTGAAATTGATTTGATTTTTTGAGTTTGAAATTTTAAATTAAACATTTGAATTCATTATTACAAATTCAATATGAAGCAGTTATTGACGTTATACAATGTGTTAATTAAATAACTAAAAACCAGAAAGTAGTTCCATCAGAATCCAGAGTAGAATCGATTAGACTTTGTTTGTCAGGTTGTGTTTGAATCTTTAAATCTTTTTTTTTTGTGCCCAGTCTAAATGCTACAATATTAACAATTACGGGAAGAGTTCCCGTACAGATGACAATTGTGGCATTGGCTCGGAGTGCCTTTATGTGTGGGGTTTCCACAGTGATTGTGGAAAGCCTACACACAGTCTGGATGTTCAATATTTGTTTTCCCTCGGGCTGGGCTGGTGGGCGACGAAAACCATGTTATATGGCTCCCTCCCCCGTCCTGTATGCATGCGGTGCACGGAGTTTACGGGTAGGCTTTGTTCGAGAAAGTCGGCCTTGACGGAGTTTACGCTCCTCCTGAAGCCTATAAGTCTGGATACTTATACGCTCTTTTCGGAGGTAGCTTGAGAGACGCTATAGTTGTCGGGTGTCGCTACCTTTATTTAAATCCCTTTCGCGAGGTTACGGGCGTAAACAATATTGATATTTTTGGCCTTAGGGGCCAGGTAAACTCGGTCCCAAGCTGCCTTCTCTTGATGGATTACCAGGGGAGGATTTTAAGTCTTATTTTGTACCACTAGCTAGCGATGGATACCTCAGGCGGAGGAATTCCGCGAATAGGTCGATCGTAGATTCTATTATTATTGATGCGTGCCCAGGCGGGCTGCCCCGGGACTTAAAAACACTCGCTTTACGACGAGGTCTCAAGATTAGCATAAAATAGAATTTCTTCTTCTTCTTCTCAGTCGTGTCACTCTTGACAGAGTGGTCGTGATCGTCATGTAGTGTTGGAAGGGGCAGACTTGATGCGTCTCACGATGTCGCGCCATCTCTCTCTGCTCGAGGCCATTCTACTGCACTCATTTAAGGGACCTCCCACTGCAGTTTTAATTTGGTCGGTCCACCGCATTGGTGGCCTCCCGCGCGGTCTTGTACCATCAACGCTTCCCTGTACAACGAGGCGTTCTATGGACCGGCCATCTCGTCGCGAAACGTGTCCGAAGAAATTCACCATTCGAGACTGTACTATACCAAATAGACGCTGCTTGATGCCGAGTTCCTGAAGTATCGAGACATTTGCACGAAAGTCGGTCCACGAAACTCCAAGCATTCTTCTCCAGCACCACATTTCCAGAGCGTCTATTTTCTTCCTTTCCACGTCTCGCACGGTCCACGTCTCAGCAGCGTATAGAAATATAGAGAATATTAGTGTTCTAACGAGCCTGATCTTTGTGGTTTTGGTTATGTTTCTATTTCTCCATACTTTCCTCAGCCCGTCCATCGCCG